TAAAAAAACCTTTACTCTGATCTCCAAGTATTGTCATGAGACTGAAATTTCCTAAAAAAGTACAAAAACTGGACTGTTAATGATTGGAAAAGGCTGTTATGGACAGATGAGTCCAAGTTTGAAATATCTGGTTCAAAGCGTAGGTTGTACATCCAGCTAAAGTAAGTTGAAAGATACTTACCTCAATGCATAGCACCTACCATGAAACATAGGGGAGGCAGTGAGATAATTTGGAGGTGTTTTTCTGTTGAGGTGACAGAAGATATTTGCAAAATAGATGGAATAATGCAAGTACCATTAGACACTGATCAGTCATAGTATACCCAGTGGTTTGCATATTATTAGTAAAGGATTCTACTGCCAAGAAGATAATGATCCCAAACACTCATCCAGCCTATGCAGAAATTACTTAGCTAAGAAAGAAACTGCTGGAATCATTCAAATGATGCAATGGTCCACACAGAGCCCTGATCTCAACCCAACTGGGCAGATCTGGGATCTGATAGATCAAAAACTTAGACATTTATTATAGACATTTGGCATAAAATCCCAAAGGAAACTTTGATTAAATATGTTGCAACAATGCCTGAAAGACTGTTTGCAGTTATTAAAGCAAAAGGGGGACACACAAAATATTAACTGTTTGCTGAACTCAAGCACTTCCACTGAGTTTCAGTTGTACTAAATATGAAGATTAATAAAAGTTTGATGTTTCACCTTTGAAAGTAGCCTGAAATCTAATTTTTGACTTTGTCCTAACACTTTTGCACAGTACTGTATATCACTGTCAGGACCTGTTCTAGTCACCAATATCATGCTATTTTAAACAATAGCATTTAAATGGACAACATGTTATTACATTCATGGCATTTGAAAAGGTATTTTACACTCATATAATTCTCTATACTCAATACTCAACCCTTTCCAAACCACAGAAGTGTCACTAATATTTCTTGATTTTTTCCTTCTCACAGAGGACATATTTAACCAAATTACAAGAAATTTGAGAAAAAAAAACTTACTAAATAATATCTAGTTTTAGCTTAAAAAATTCATATAATTTGATCCAGTTTTGTGAAATATAAAAATTTTTGTTAAGAAACTTTTTTGAAAAAACATTGAAAATACTTCCCTTCATCTTAGAATTTCTTTTTTCTTTATATGGTTGATCAGAAACTTTCATTTTATACATCTAGTCAATTTCAACTTGACTGATTTTCATCAACATTCTTGCTATTGGCTCAGTCAAATCAGCTGAGTCTGTGACCCCCCAAACGAGTTTCAGAGTTTCCATACTATAACTTCTAACATGCTTTGTGTACCTTCATTAAATTTTGCAAGCTTTCAGTAATCATTAAGAGTCATTTGTACACATAAAATCTGAATTTTTAATGCAGTATTTTCATTAAACATTTCGCCATAAATATATGGAGTCAAAGTGTTGACTGTTCTGAGTGCAAAGTGATTTTCATGTTAACATTAAAAATACTTTAGTTTGTATGAAAAATCAGATTTTGCTTGCATAATCTTTAAAACCATCTGAATAAATTCTACATTTTTTTCAGTAAACCATTATATTTAATCTGTTATTTTTTCTACCATAACTCTATATGAGGTAGGTCAATTTTAACAATTTTGTAACCACACACAAAAAAAATCTAAATAACATTTTCTTCTTTTTTGAATGATTTCAACATGTAACATGAAACTACATTTGTTTATCCTAAATAGCTTTAAACTCATAACAGTTTACATCTGCTTATACTTAAATTTTATTGCTGAAATGCCTTTTGAACCATCAAATAATATTTGTACCATATAAGTTGTAAATCACTTGGCAAACTTATAGCTCACATTACCTTATAAAATTACATAACAGAGAGGCTACTTGAGAACATATCTCATGAATAATAATTATTATTATTATTCTTTATTTTACTTAATCTAACCTAAACACTTTTCTAATGTTTACATTTTAGTTACTTTTATAATAATAACTAAATAAATAATCCATATGAAAAGCAAATAAAGTACTTTTCTGGGTCTTTTTTTTTGCCATCAACCATTGATGACACTTAAACCTACTTTTTTTAGTACTACTGCACTAAATAATTTTTTATTTAATTAAATAATGCATCAAAGAATACTGAATAATAACATGTAAAAAGCAGACAATGTCCCATAACTATCACAATTTTTCTGGTTTTCTACCTATGCAAAAAAGAGCCATTAATAGTTCAGCTAAGCTGATTGATGTGTTTCCCACGGGAATAAAGTTTGAACTGGACGCAAAATAGACGATTCTTTGTACAGAAAACAACATAATATATCATTTAATAGATTAAAACCTTGGCTTTCTATTGGTTAGAAATAATGGCTTAAATTTCAGAGAAAACTATTGGAAATTCCAGAAAAAGATGGGTCTGATTTTCAATTCTAACAAAATAAGATTGAAGGCTATGAAAATGATGCTTTGTCTGAATGATGTCAACATTATAATAAGTAACTTACATTTGATTTTGGACTTCTTGGAGGGGTTGTAAATAAATTAGAAAAGAGAGGATGCCTAGACAGAAAATGTCACAATCCTAATACTAGGGAAAATTCAGGCTATTTTTTAAATATTTCCTTACAAAATTAAGAATTTAAAACCTCCTGACATATACAGAAAAAGATTCCTGGAGCAAAAGTTAATGTATTTCCAAAGTTCTATATTTGTTTCCCTGAGAAAAATTATTTTATAAAGTGAAATCGTCTCATTATAGTGAGATAAATTTCATTGTATAGCTTATTATGTCTGCTCAAGGTCAACAATCCCTAGTCAACGTTGTTAGCACTATCGCCACGGGTATCATTTACTGCGCATTACACAAGGTTTTTGGTGTCTTATATCCAAAATTTTATTAAACTACTTTTTGTTTATGTTATACCAATTAGTATAGAAGGCCCAGGTAAGTACCTTATTTCCTGTTTTTCATGTGTATTCTTTATTTATTATTATAAAAGTAACAAAAATGTAAAAATAGAGATCTCTTCAGGTTAGTTATGGTTAGATAAGGTAAAATAAACAATAATAATAATATAATTAAAATATTTCATGAAGCATGCACGCGAGCAGCTAGTAGCTTGTGGGTAAAGAAATTTGATAGCGTAACGTGAGCCATTTTCCCCAAGTGATTTACAACTTATAATGGCACAAATAATAGTTAGACACAGTTCAAAGGGCAATCAAACAATAAAATTTAATTATAAATACATGCATACTGTTACAAGTTTAAAGTTATTTAGGACATTGTAGTTTCATGCTACATTTGAAGTCATTCTAGAAAGAAAAAGAGGGTAATTTAGATTTATTTTTGGTGGTTACCTTAGGACATGTAAAGTAGCTTCCCTTATATGTAATTGTAAAAAAATACAAAAATGCCCATAAAAACTGCAAAATACAAACTATGAAATAAAAAATTTGCATGTATCTCCATATGAACCCAACAAACATTCATGCCAAATTTGGTGAAGATCCATCAACAGGAGGCAAAATAATGATAAAAAATGTGAAAATGCAAAAAAGTCCATAAAAACTAAAATTTGTATGTATATTCCCATAAAACCAATGAACCTTAATGCCAAATTTGGCGAAGGTCCATCAACAGGGGGCAAAGTAGTAGTAAAAAATGCCTATTAAAATGCAAAACTGAAAATTTGTTTGTATTTCCCCATGGACCGAACAAACTTTAATGCCAAATTTGGTGAAGATCCATCAACAAGAGGTGAGGTAGTGGTAAAAAAATACAAAAAATGCCTATAAAAACTGCAAAACTGAAAATTTGTATGTACCTCCACATTTTTTTTACATATGTGGTTTGTTATTATGCTAGATTTAAGCCACTAATCCATAATTTTATGGGTAACTCAAAAAATGTCAAAAAATTCTTGAAACAAACTATAACTCACTGTTACCGATACCAGTGGTCACCATGTACCACTGTAATACCTATTAAATGTGACACAAATGTACACACACTGTAGTGATGCGTCAATCCAACTGGAAATTAACTGTTTTGTTTTTTTTGCAATCGGCAGGCAATGATACCAGCTGCACAACAAATTTACATAATTCAATTTATGTTAATTACAATTATTAATTTGGGATTTATATATATTACTGTATTAGTTTTATAATGTCTTAGTATTTTATTTTATTTGTTAGTCTTTCAGTAAATGTGATGTAAATTGATGTATATGATGAAATTAGTTTTATAATGTCTTAGTATTTTATTTTATTTGTTAGTCTTTCAGTAAATGTGATGTAAATTGATGTATTACTGCAGACCCCCCTTAACTAGCTATCGTAGAACCCCAGGGGCTGCAGACCACATTTTGGAAACCTCTGCACTAGAAGATAACAATGATCAATATAAAAAAACAACCAAACTGAATATGTCACTGTGGTCAGCAACAATGCAAATAATAATAAAGTGACTCAAAAGAGAAGTTTAGTGAATCAGTTTTAAAGCCTATATGAACACAAACAGAAAATGCAGAATAAGAGCAGTAACAGATACAAAAAGAAGAAAAAAAAAAGACATGACAATCACTGGAAATTCATGTGCTTTACAAACATATAGCCAAACATTGCCTGTTACGGATGACAAAAAATTCTACAGACAGATAAAGCTAGAGAAGTCACAAAAGCAGCAACATACATCTAAAAACGGTATTATACTTTCTACGAACCGGAAACCTATTTTGGGCTATTAAAAAATTAAGTGATTTACATTACTAGAAGTTTCACAACCAGAGTAAAAAGTAAATATCAAAGCCACTTCCAGATAGTTTTGTCAATATAATGTAATCAAAGTGACAAAAGATAAGTTGTCTTTATTACATTAATAATGTATTATAGCATTTTTCTTTATTTCTATAGATGATTTGCATAAACAAGTATTAATGATAAAAAGTATCATCAGAGAGAGTAAAAAATGATAAAAAACAAATCTTACCAAGACCAACATGAGCTTCTTGAATCATGCTAACATCATTAGCCCCATCCCCAATTGCAGCTGTAATTGGTGCTTCAGGTTCTAACTTGATAAACTTCACAATCTGCAACAAAAGACCATATATATATATGAAATACTGAACATTTTTGAAATCTTGTTCTTTCCCCATAGCTGAGCTTTAGAATTAAAATATTTAGAAAACATAACAAGCCAATGAGCTTTGGCTAAAGAAAAACTGATAGGCCTAATAACTAGTTCAAGAAATTCTAAGGAAACTTATCAAATTGCCACCAATACTAAAAAAAAAGGATTTTTTCTACAATTTTTTAAAACCAGATTATTTATCACCATTATATTTTATGCAAAACTGATTAATACTGTGTTTAAAAAGAAACACTACAATGCTATTTGATATTATCTATGTTTTCTCAGTTTGTAGCACATTCCCTTTAGCCATATGAGAAAAGCATGGGGATTAATAGTATTAGACACCCAGAAACTAAAGGGATGTCTCTGGTGTATTCTATGCCATTTTGGGATTCACACTACTTCTAGGATGATCAATAAACACTGAATTTTTAAAGGGGTGAGAAAGGCTCAGAGTTTGTTCAACAGGCTGTAATGGTTGTCAAAAAAAAAAATCTATATACATGCATAGATCTTCAAAAAAGATTCAATTATGACAAAATTGAAGTACAAAGACCATAAAAAAAAGATGAAATTAAAGAATTTTGATGTTTTTATCTTATTTATTTCTATAAAATACAATTAATGTTTAGTTTGGCAATTTTGCATCTTTATTCAACCAACTTTTGAAGCAATTGGATATTTTTGAGGGAATTTTTACAACTGCTTCAGTATTTTTGATGTTCAAAAGTTAAAAAAAGAAGCTACAGAGATACAAGTATTCTGAGTGTGATACATATACATGAAGAAATGGCATAAGTAAGGACGCCTGTATTACAAAATTAGGTCAAGAACTAGGCAAAGCCCAGTTAACTGGTTAGTTAGTAGTGAGAATCACGAGGTAAGAGTTATAAAAAATCAAACTACAGCGAGAATGCTGAGAAAAATGCTAGTCATGAGTTTGACAGTGATAAGTTACTGACGCCAAGTTAGTACTACTGTAAAGGCTACTAAAATGTTTATGATAGCATCTCAAATCAGTGCTTTGATGTGAGATTTGTTACTCCAGGCCAGCATAGTAGTACAAGTAAAAAGGCAACTAGAGCACTCACCATCACAGTAACCAATTACTTGAGAGTTTTGGTTCTTGTTTTGGATTAGCCCAGGAAATTGCACGGATTGACCAATAAAGTGTTGGGACTACTTGTGGGTAGTAAGGAATACTATTTTGAAAATCAAAAGGATACAAAATATAGTATAAAAACGTGTATCTGGAGCTAAACATCAGTTCTCCAGGAAGAATAGAGGTTCTTCAAAGAGCTGGTAACAGTTCCAAGCAACCATGAACATGAAGATTTCTAACCTGCAGAGGCATGCCAGTCCAACCTTGTTGTAAGTATATAATTGCTATATCTCTTGTTCAATTAATGTAGTTTACTAAAGGAAGTTAATGCTTATAAGTGAGAGAAATATTCTTTATGTATTGGTTAATAGTGTTTAACTGAAAAGTGAAAAGTAGAACTGTAAGAAACTAACGGTTTAGGAGATGTTTAACTATTGATGCTAAAAACATATACAATGTGGAAAGACCTAATAAATGTTGATGTATTTTGTTCAATGTCAGTCTTGGAATCTGTTTCTTTATTCAAACTGTAAATTACCTCGAGTTAGCAACTTGTGAGATCCACTCGCCACTGCAATTCTCAACTACGTAAATTTGGTGTAATTGGCAGTATAGTCGAAACTCCAATGACTAGCCTGTTACACTCTTGATGCTTTATTTCCCGGGAAGTTTTATTACATTGGAAAAAATAAGCCAAAACCAAGCTAATGTTACATAGCATCTTAAGGAAACAAACAGTCAAGGTTCTGTAAAACTTTTAAACAAAACATTGATCTTGGCCAAGCTCGTTCAATGTTTTCATTCTAACCAGCTTGGCCTGCCTGCCAAGTATAGTAAAGTACTGCCTGTAATAAGACTAGACTTTCATCGGAACTCTCACACATACCACTATACTGTAAACTGTACACAATGCCTGAGCACTACACATGTACACACACACACACACACCTCTGTCAAATATGTATTGTCGTTTATACTCGTAGTTTGTGTTGACCTGAAGAAAGAGACAAAGTTAGCCATATTTTATTTATTGTTATTCTATTTCATACTGATCAAAATTTTCATAAAATTTTGTTTGCAGTTATCATTATTATGTTCTGTTTAATTCTTTGTTAAATCAAACATAAACACACATGTCATTGATGAGCAATGTACACTAGCTATTATTTGCTATTCTCATCACTTAAACCTACAACAACAACAGCTAATGAAAGAATAAGGTTTACCATTCCATTTATTGACAGCATAGAACTAATTAAATTAGAAATGGTAGTAAGAAACTTTTGTTCAACATTTTAGTGCCGAAAACTTGAGAAATCAAATACCCATCTATTACCTATTCTTGTAAGATGGACATTGGCAGTAACATCTTTAATTATAATACAGTGTTATATAACATAATCACCAAAGAGTTACACAACATTTTATCCCCTAAATGTAAATATAGCTTCATCCCTTAAATTCATCTTCCCATTTACCACATGCTCACTGGTAATCTTGATATCATGACTAACAAAAATTAATGACCACTAAGTTTCAGGAATGTTCAAAACTTTAATGGAAATGCATCACACAAGTAATTAATAAATCACTTGGTAAAGTTTATGTAAATGGAGTAAAAAACAGTAAATTAAAAGCAATCCTATTTAGAAACTGCGTATATAAAGTTAAAGAAATAATCAATAGATGCATAATATAGTAATAGAAATTTACTATTAACTGCAGTGAATCATGTTATTTAGATTTAGATAGTAAGTATGTTATCACTCACACCAATAAAGTAGCTAATAACTTTGTTTTCATTTGTAAGAAGTTTCATATTCCAAATTCATGTGAAGAACTAGGATTTGATTTGAAAATGCTAAAACTCTTTGGGTAATGAGATGTATAAACACATTAAAACCAATACAGAAAATATCATAAATAAACATATTACAGTTTTTTCATACTTTGATGTACATTCAGTTAAAACAAATAATGTGATATCTAAGTTATTTTGGGTTTTCAAATTACATTAAACACTGTACAAATATAGGTTTATTCCTGGGGCTAAATGATGCTGTGATTAAGATTTGTCAAATACGATAGGTAATGGATTGAAATACATTAAAGAACATTAAAAAAAATTTATATTATAAAATATAAAACCAATATTAAAACGTTCATTATCATTGGTAATTCCATTGAATATAAAGAGAAAAATAAAAGTTTTGAAACTATAACAATAAAAACATTTAATTTCAGTAATCTTTACACTAGTCTTCCTATTTATAAAATTAAAGTCTTTTGTCTACAATTTGAAGGTTCTTCAGTAATTTGGGTGAGTTACTACCCTGCAACAATAAATGGAACTTTTTATGACAACGTTACTCCCAAAATTTACCACTGTTTTGCATTAAAAGAATTCTTGCAGGCTTTGTATGTTTTACTTGATTATACATTTGTGCAATTTGGCCAGCTTTTTTTTTTCAACCAGATAAAAGGAATTCCAATGAAAAGTAACTTCAAGTTGCAGATTTATATTTATTCACAAAAGAATTTTCAAAATGGTATAATGTGGATTTCTCCCGTAAACCAAAATTCCAGGCCTATCTAAAAGTTAATTAATCAATGTGAATTGAGGGTGGTTAATCAAGATTTTTGAGTATCCACTCAGTTACAATAATTTTGTAACTGATTAATGAAATTTCCCCATCTTAATTAAGTTAATGAATGAAATTTGTTTATTATAATTGACTGTCACTTAGCTCCCTATAAATGAGGCACCCAAACAACTGCAAAACATCAGTACTTGTACAATCTCAACAATGCTATCATCATATCTGATACTAACATCAATTTCAAGAAGAGAAGAATCACAACCTTTTGAGAAGATAAACAAATTAAAAATGAGTCATGTCAGTAATGTGATGTAAATAGTACTCGATTAAAAAATGATCTTCTACATGTAACAGGAGTTAGAATTTCTACACAAATGGTTTGATGATGACTTCACGAGGCCCATATACTTAACACCCCAACACCTCTGGATACATTTAAGAAGTGCAAGGGATCATGTCAAGTAGAAGTAGATCATCAATGATTGGACATCCATCCTCTTCACTAACAACTTCAAATTCTGTCTTGATTATAAGGAAAAATATATTAGAATCTGAAAGAATGTAGTAAACAATTTTTGTTGTAGCATGTTGCAGAAAAAAAGATGGATATGGAAAAAGATCTGTCATGGTGCGAGCTGAAACCAGCATACAGGGAAGGATAAAGATCGATGTCATCCAGGAATACACCCTCACTATATTTAAGTAATTAGATGAGATACAAAAACCAACAGTGACATTTTGGTGTAATCATGTCAAACTTCATTTTGATTGATCATAAGGTCTGCCAACATCAAGCAAGACCATTACTGAATAAGAAAAACCAAGAGAATAGATTGGCCAATTGGCCAGTGACATCTCCTGACTTTTACTTTAATGAGCATGCTTGGAGGATGCTACAGGGGGTGTTTGCAGCTCATCATTCACAACCAAGAACTTTATAGGAACTCAAGAACACCCACATCCAACAAATGGGCCAAGCTGCCACAACACGTATGGCACCTGATTAGGTGAATGCCCACACTGTCAAAAGAGACACTGCGTCTTGTATTGAATGGTACTGACCACATGCAAATACACAGTTTTACTCTAAGGATTTTTTTCATGATTTTGAACTTTCATTTCAATTGGGGGGAGGTACTTTCAAATGTTTTTAGCGTCTCATTAATCACTTTATCAATCTTCTTTTTAGTTATGCATAATTTTCCATATAACCAAATATATGAGGCAGTATGAAAACCCTATTCGTCAGAAATCTTGATCCTAGTAAAAATTAAATTGTAATTATATACAGCATACATCATTAATCAAAAGAACAGGAAAGTACTTTTGCCTTCAGTGTAAGACTTGATTTACTACACAACAAATAATCATAAAAGAAAAGGAAATGATCTCACTTTCAGTATGTAAAATGTTTATATGCAAGGAATACAATGATAAATAAAGTGTAAGTCATCGTTATATACATACAGCAAGCATTAACATGTTAGTAAAACAGGAGGTTACCTCAGCTTTTTGTATGGGTGACATGCGACAACACAACACCGCAGTGCACTGTCGACATATTTCATAAAAGATATCACGATGATGGTGGAGAGCAAAGGCCAGTGAGTGTCCATCTACAACTAAGGCATAACTGCTCATTGGTTCCCTCTCTATTCTAAAAACATACAGCACAGATGAATATTAAACAGGTTATTAATTGTTACCAGAGAAGTAATGTTAACAGGTAAATTCTACATGGTCACAGTCAATAAACCCAAATTAAAATCTCTGAATGTAGAAATTAAAAAAAAGCTTTTTCAGCTACCCTAAAAAATGTCATTTTTTTAAGCATGCTCTAGAAACAATTATAACATTTAAGATATTTGCTGCTAAAACTTTAACCTATAAAGACTTTAATAATTGGCTTACATATACTTATTCTTCTGTGAACGATATTTTTATACTTACATTCACTCTTAGTAAGATTTATAAAGCAACTGAAGCACATCTAATTTAAGCAACAACAATATATAACACAAACCACAGCAAAGACATAAATTAGAAGACTAAGTCTTGCACTTGGTTTGGATGGGAAAATGAAATATATTAATAAAGATGAAAATGGTTGAAACGACACAAAACATTTTTATTTAAAGCTTGAAATGTTTCAGAATACACCTATTCCATCTTCAACAAAGTATGGAAATAACATTATAATCATATTTATTAACTGATACTATAGTAACTTGAATAACTAATTTGCAGAAGTAACATAAATCAAAAGTTGCACTTTACTAATTTACTTAAAATATTCATGTCTGAACAGAAGACCATACAATAAATTGGAATAATACTAAAATAACAGGATATGAACCACACATGAGAAAAAGAATGACAAAAGAAGCCTTCTAAATCCACTTAACCGATAACACCTTTAGTCAACCTAATATAGAAATTGACAAAACCTGGATACTCCTCATATAATTCAAATAGTTAGTTGATTCAAGTTCTAAATGCAGTAGGTCCCACTCAAGTAGATAATGCACCAGACTTCCACGAAAACAACTCAAGATCAAATCTTTACCAACACAGAAATCGTCATTTTCAGAACATCCATGAAAATGGCTGCACATTTGCAGCTGAAACTTAGGACAAAGCTATTTAGCAATTAGTATCTAATGATATGCATATATATATATATATATATTTATAAATAATTACTCATTAATGATTAAACTTAAATGACCACAAAGTAAGCTACTAACTATGACAATGATTGATAAATACCATTTTGATTATCCAATGATGTATTTAATATTTTTTACGATTTTTGTATGTTAGAAAAATGATGAAGATGTTTCATAAATGTTTATGTAATTGGCACAAAATAATTTTACAGGACTACTTTCAAGAGACAGTAGGTTAAACTGTGAATCAACAAAGCTACAGATTTTTGGTTCCATAGAAAGACTAAATGAGGAACTTCATAAATGATTTTTTCAAGCTATTGCTAAGATGGAGAAGAGACTTTTGTTTTTATGGATATAAGTGACAATGAATTGGATTCTCAAATAAGTTACAATGAGAATGTTTTAAGGCCTTTTCAATCCAAAAATACTTTTATAAATGAAGTTACACCAAATAGCAACTAATTTCTGCATGAAAAAAACAACATAAGGTCTTATTTAGTATATGTATAGTTTTTTAGTTCATAAACCTTTTGAAGTTTTGTTGTGGAACACTGTTGTGAAAAAATAAAAAAATACTTATTCTCATCTTAGACTTTTGTTAAAATCAGCCTTGTTAACTGAACTGAACTTGATGACAGTGATTTGAGTAAGTGTGAACACAAATTAATGTGTAATATATGTGTTGAGAAAAGAAACATTGGTAGTGCACAGAAGAGTACTGGGTAACTGTTCTTATCATAATAAATTACAATCAAAGTGTTTGTACTGTTCAAGTGGGAATTATTTAGTATGCTGGTAAACAAATAATGAAAAAGTTCTTTAACTTGTGTATTTTTGATAAGATGATGAAATTATCAGTAATGGGTTACATGGATGTTTACATATTTTTTAGATTTCACACAATTAGCGTCTTGGTTTAGATAGTCTCTTTTTACTTTCAATAGTCTTAACATACTACAAATTAAACAAGTTTCAATCACTCTCATTCTTCAAAGCATTAAATAAGAATCCTTTACCATGATTAAAATGTCCGGAAATTCATAACTGATGATCTGATAGACAATATTAACTTTATTAAAAATTTTTTAGCATTGGCTCTCTATACAATGCAAGTAATCAGAAGATGCATCTTGTCTTTGATAAGGTTTTTCAGTTACAGCTTAAATATCACAAAGTCATCAAGAAGGAACAAAACAAGGAACTTCAAAAGGTTATTTAAGTTAGCTCTAATAAAAGTTTTTAGAGTAACAGTTCATATAAGGTTAAAGGAACACCAAAAGTGTTCATTTATAATGTGTCTGATAAGAAAAGTTAAGTATGTACATATTTTATTAATATGAAAATCAAGTTTAGGAGATGCTATGAACTCCACATCATGCTTTACACAGCTATATAAATATTTAATACAACTGAAACAGTTTTAAAAACTATATTTTTGTCATACATGTGATATTTTGTAAAAATTCAGAGTGCTTCATATACCATTTTTACTGCTTGATTTAATGTTCTATCTTGTTACCTGCCAAAGGATAATCTAGATGACCTTATAATCTACAAGAATATCTAAAGCAGTCTTTTAAGGATCTGTGTTAACCATTTAATCATGACCTACTTACATTGAATAGGTATGGAACTATCATGAAAGTTTTTTATAAAAATTAAACTAGTGGATGAAATACTTTTACATTTGAAATGAAAGGTACTATAAGTATGTCGTTTTTGAAAAATATAATACTTAATTTTGATTTTTTCTAAAGCAATGTTTTTCTCATATCTTTTTTTTCTTTTTGCATGTTCCCTATTCAACATGCAAAGTAATTTCAATTTTAAGATTAAACACACTTTTATGCAACAGAAAATTTTCAAATTTCACATGGAAAATCCTTATAATGTCCAGATAGTTATCAAATGTTTCTTCAAAAAAAAACTTTATATTTTATCTGTTATTTTTACTAATGAATATCTGTAAGAGTTCAGTCGATTTGACCAATCTCGTAGCCACTATACAAAATTAGGAAATAAATACAACTTATGCCATTTTCATTCTTGAATGACTACAAATTATAACAAAAAAACATAAATGTT